TCCATTCGGGCTGTAAATGTGGATGCAGCAGAAATGACTGCAATTGGAGAAGTCGCTCTCCATCAGCAACATCTGGCAACCGGTTGGCTGGGCTATTTCGAAATAGCGGCAGTGGCAGCCAAAGCAGCTCAGACAAGCCTGACAATCCGTAAGTTTTTTCACAGTATAGTCCTACGTATACGCGTAATGCTCACAAATCGAATCGTTCTCTTCATATCGTAAATTGTGTGAAATTTTGTATTCGCACAGTACTCAGATCAATAGTCTCCTCACTAGTACTCCTGTACATGGAGTTTGCTGCGTAACATGGCTAGCATTATCTCCGTGCAAGTCGTGCAATGTGTATCGGTTCACTTGTGCTTTATCTCACATAAGTGGACTGCACCTCAATATACATTCTCACCTTTTGCATTATCACTTAGTCTTTACAGAATGCTGAGACGTTCTCTTGTATTTCACGTAGCTGTGTACCAACAATTACGCTGTGCACTCTAGCAGCAGCAGCACAGTAGCATATTGAGTGCGTTTTGCCCTACCGTGTGGTGTCTCATGACTGCATTACCGGAACAGCTCTGTCCTTCTTGATTATCATTCTGAAATGTGTGCACATATCCGCCGCGCCCCACACACACGCACGCACATGTGCTCACCTTGGTGGGCACATAGTATAGTAGTCACACATGCTCACGCACGCAGACACGCAATTTCACAAGCGCGTGCGCACACGAGTGCATAAGCATACAAGTGCCCGTGCACATGCTCGTGCACGCACACATGCGCGCACTCATGCACTTGGTTGCATACCCACACATCCCTCAGGATCACTAACGGCAATGCATCTACTACTTGTCATTCCATGTCCCTCCCGCAAGGTGGAGAGAATGACATAAAGGAGAACACAGAATAGATGACGTGAATATCTTTGGAATGTTATATTACATTACACAAAAGCACACGCATGTGTGCACCTGCGCGCGCACTCACGCGCGTGCGTGCGCGCGCACTCACGCGCGTGCCCACTCATGCACGTGCGTGCGCGCGCACTCATGCACGTGCGTGCGCGCACACACACACACTCACGCGCCTGCGCGCACACACACACTCACGAGCGTGCGCGCGCACACACACTCAGTGTCACGCGCGTGCGCGCGCACACACTCACGCGCGTGCACGCACACACACAATAATAATGTCTGTCTCTCACGCGCGTGCAAACACACTCACGTGCGCGCACACTCACGCACGGGCGCACGCACACACTCACGCTCGTGCACGCACACTCACGTGCGCGCGCGCACACTCACGCACGTGCGCACACACACACGCACGTGCACGCATACACACAATAATAATAATGTCTGGCTCTCATCTGCATCCATACTGAGAAAACGCAACGAGTTCCCGAATAGGTGTACACTGTTGCCGGTATGTGGACTATCTTCTCTCCTTGAACTGCAGGTCATTGCGTGATGTTGCTTATCAGCAGTACATACTGTGTGTTCATACAGGAAAAAAACATGCCAGCTAGAGCCGCTGGCGCTGCAAACAGTCCTTCCTATAACCTTTCGGCGGTGGCAGTGGTCGTAGCTCAACAGTGAGTCACTGCGACCGATGGTACAGCCGCTCTTGATCTTCTTCCTGTAAAATCAAGAACAGCAATCGCAGACAGGTTCATCGATCGCACGCAGTATAGCCTAGGGAAACAGGAGATCTACTGCCGTCCACCTCATCAGGCCGGTTTCGGAAAGCTTCACATTTCGTAGTGATGTAGTCCAAAACAATTCTACAAATGCTTTGGAAAAGAAAGAACTACATACAGTAGCTAGTGTTTTTGAAATATTGCACTCACCTCCGCTTTTCGACTGACGCTTCACAGTGTGGCGTGCGAAAAAGGACACACCACAGTTTCATCCACCAGCGTCTGCATCGGATGAGTGCATAATATTCCTCCTGAAAATCCTCCTCTGCCAAATGGCTGGAACACACGCGAAGGATTTACAATTACATTGTAGTCCCGAAATTGTCAAGGAAATAATGATGTCGCTTGATAGCTGCTATGGTGCACTGCTCGGCCTGTGCCAAGCACAATCCTTCGGAAATTGGTGCAGGTTCATCCCAGGGGGGTTACCAGTAAGATTATTGTAGCCAACAACACAGCCAGAAGGCATGATGACACAAATACCCTCATTTTCCATGGACAAACAGAAAGAAGATGCGGAATCCCAGTGTTTCTGGATCTGGCCAAAGGATCACCAAGTCTCAATGACGTCACGGGTTTGTGACGTCACGGCACGGACCCGAAAAGGACAATTGCAAACTGATATATCTCAAGAACGCTTGGTCGGATCGAAGTGGGACCTTCACCATTCGACTCAGCGTCCAAAACTCTACGGACCATGAAGTTTTGATTTTTGGGTGTAGTTCCCCTTTAATCTGCATTATTACTATAATGCTACACACGCACGCACGCACGCACGCACGCACGCACGCACGCACGCACGCACGCACGCACGCACGCACGCACGCACGCACGCACGCACGCACGCACGCACGCACGCACGCACGCACGCACGCACGCACGCACGCACGCACGCACGCACGCACGCACGCACGCACGCACGCACGCACCCACCCACCCACCCACCCACCCACCCACCCACCCACCCACCCACCCACCCACCCACCCACCCACCCACCCACCCACCCACCCACCCACCCACCCACCCACCCACCCTCCCGCCCTCCCGCACGCACGCACGCACGCACGCACGCACGCACGCACGCACGCACGCACGCACGCACGCACGCACGCACGCACGCACGCACGCACGCACGCACGCACGCACGCACGCACGCACGCACGCACGCACGCACGCACGCACGCACGCACGCACGCACGCACGCACGCACGCACGCACGCACGCACGCACGCACACACACACACACACACACACACACACACACACATGTACACTGACCGCCATACATACAATTGCTTTGCAATGTTCTCAGTTCATAGTTGAAACGGGACTCCTGCAGCACGGAACAGGTGAGGAACGGAGATGGAGCGAATATTGCTAGGCAGGTTGTTCCAGCATAGTGCACCCTGGAAGGCAAATGTCCCCTTTCCAGAGTTCCTGCGGACGGGTGGGAAGCGGAGACCCATGCCAGAGTCCAGGCGCGTGGACCAGCCACAAGCTGGCAGCAAGAGATCCTGAAGCTCAGGACTTGCTTGGCCGTAGCGGCACTACCATACAAGGAATGCCACCTTCTGGTTGTATACTTCAAACAATGCACGGGTACCACGGGTTTCCAGAACCTGGAGTCGATGACAGTGCCTGACTGCCAGAGATGTCGAGTGTGCATTTGATCCCTACAGAAGATCTGGAATTATGATGGACCGGAAGTAAGTGATCCGACCCTGTGTGCTGAGGCAACGCCGTTGTCACGCAACGAGCGGTGGAAAAAGTGAAAGGACTTCTTGCATGTGATTTTGTTGTACTTTGTGACAGTCAAATCGTCTCAGTGTTACTAGTTTATCGTTAGCTTACTAGTTTGCTGTTTGAATCTGCGTTTGGTTTATTTATTGTTTATTTGACACGTCTTTTCTGTGTCTTTTGTTTGATTGACGTCATGAGGTCCCATGGCTACGCGGACTGTACTCAGTCGCGGATCCTTCTGCAGAGCTGGCTACTTTTTCGGTTGCTTTTGGATTCCTTATTTGATGCATGTAAATTAGTGTAGATTAGCGTAGTTCGTTGGCGTCGTTTGCGCTGCTGTGGGTGCTTTGTAGGCGCACGTGTATGTGCACGTTCTGCTGAGGAGAGCGTTTTGGCTTTCGCTTGCGCTACTTGTTTCTTCGATATTTTCCTTTTCTGGTTAGTTGTTGCTCCTTCGGTGATGGACGGATAGCGTCCTTTCTCTCTTGTTTCACCTGTATCATATTGTTCCTGTATCCTGTAAATATCCCAAACTGAGTTGTGTGAGCTTGTTGTCGGTTGGATCAAATTATGGCGATCACGCCAGGAAAGATACGCTGTTTGGATCCAGTGGCGCTGACAGAAAGTGGCCACGATGCTCAAAGAGAAAACCAGTGAGGGCGCAGGATACTCGGCAGAGTCCGCGGGGGGACTGCTGTTGGAGGAGCGGTTGCAGCGAGTTGGTAAGGCCCTGGGTTTCGAGGGGAGCCGACTCGCGCAGTACGTGGAAAGAAAGGTGAAGGAGGTCAACGCTCAAATTGAGCAGGCTATCCAATGGGAGGAGGCGTGTGCTCAACAGGGGCATGCGTTCCGAGCGGCCGACGCGGAGTTGCGAGGGGAGCGCTCTGCGGCGGACGCTGCGTCTACTTGTGAACTATTGGACAGCAGTGCTGTGGGGGTGATGACAGTCCCAAGTACAAGTACCAGGATTACATTTCCAAGGTACAAGGAGACAACGGTTGTGTTTGACCAAGAGGCGCGTGGACGACGAGCGTCAGTGGAGAATCGGTTCGTCGCCCCAACAACCCAGCACAGTTGACAGTGCGTTGGAGTGTCAGCCATGGATACGGCTGAGGTGGAGACGGAAATAAAGGTCGTCAATGGCAACAGCGCTTTGGGCACAGAAGCCGGATGCACTGTGTCGGTGGCCTGTGTTAGCTGCTCCCGGAAGTCCCCTCACACCGGAACACAGGGATTTTATATGATTGGATTATAGAAGTATTCGACAAGAGTGTAGACAGAAGGAGAACAGGACAACGACAACTCAAGACTAGACTAGAACAGAACAGAACAGAACTGGAGACCCACTGGAGCATGCGCTCTTCTATATGTGAATCTCATTGCCAAGTGGAACGAGCGGGAAATACGAATAGTGAGTATGTACAGGTCATAGCATTAATACACCTATTACACTGTGCCCCCCCCCCCCTAGCTAAAATTCACGTCCACGGAAATGAACGAAATACCTAACAAAGGAAAACAAACCAAATAATAAACTCAGTCCAGGACATAGTCAGCTAGTCAAACTGGTGCAGTGCGAACACAGCCAGAACGACGAGAAACAGGAGAAGAAGTACGGACTGGACCAGAAGACGACGGCTGTAGCGGCGGAACGCAGCGCGGCAAATCATCATCGGACAGTGTCCGCTGGTCAGGACTAGAAGCAGTAACGGCAGGCGGTTGACAGTCGGGAGGACGGGAAACGGCTTCAGGCGGTCGAACAAACTTGCCACTAGCAGCATCATACCTCGTGAAACACTCAGACAGAGCAGGATCAGCATACGGAGCAAGAAGACTCTGAGGCTTGTAACAATCCGGCAACGGTCCAGCGGCAGAGGCACCAGGAGGACGAACAAAAACGGCGGGAGGAAGAATCTCGGCAGCCGGAGGAACATCAGCAGCTGACAACGGAACATCACGGGCAAGAGGTGGCGGACTCGGCGAAGGAGACGGGGTAGCATCTTGCGGCGGCGTTGGTGCCAGTGGTGAAGACTCACTGTGCACATGTGCTTCAGGTTCGGCTAGCAAACGTGACAGACCATCAGCATTCATATGTTGGCAACCTGGACGGTGGACGACTCGGAATTCATATTCGGATAAACAGTCAAGCCAACGTGCTTTCCGTCCGCGGGGTTCCTTCAGGTTCCGGAGTGCCGTCAATGCAGTATTGTCCGTCCTGGCAACAAATGGTCGTGCCAACAAGTAGTGCCTGAAATACTCCGCAAAATAGACCAGAGCAAGGGCCTCGCGATCGCTAGCATCGTAGTTGCGCTAAGCTTTCGTCAGTAAACGGCTGCTGTTACCGATTGGTCGCTCAGTTCCATCCTGGATCTGGCTGAGAACTGCACCAAACGACACATTGCTAGCATCGGTGTCCAGAATGAATGCACCCGCTGAATCTTCAAACTGGGGGTACGCCATTACCGGCGCACTGGCAAGCGAACGCTTCAGCGCCTGGAACGCTTCAGCGCCTGGAACGCTTCAGCGCCTGGAACGCCGCTTCGCAAGCTTTCGACCACGCAAAACGAGCATTCTTGCCTGTCAGAGCAGTCAGCGGAGCAGCACGCTGGGCGAACCCACGGATGAAGCGGCGATAATATCCAGCAAAGCCAAGGAACTCGCGGACAGCTGTGACAGATTTCGGAGTCTTCCAGTTCCTGACCTCATCCGGGGAGATGCCCTCCGCTGACACGCGGTGTCCTAAGAAAGTGACCTCCTCCTGGAAAAAGGAGAATTTCTTCAAATGGAACCGCAGCCCAGCGGACCGAACTCGCGTGAAAACGGGCAGCAGAATCTGGAGTTGGCCAGACAGAGTTTCGCTGGGATTCAGGACATCATCAAAGAACACACGGCAGAATGGCAGAGCTGTGTGCTGCATAAGCCACTCAGGACTGCTTCCATTACGCACTGAAATGTCGCTGGGCCATTCCTGCAGCTCATCGGCAGAACATTAAACTCAAACAAGCCCAGTGGCGTGGTAAATGCCGTCTTAGCCTTGTCGCTTCCTTTCATTGCTATTTGCCAGTACCCTGACGCAAAGTCAAGGGACGTGAAATACCGACAGCCAGACAGGGAATCAAGCGTGTCATCTGCCCGGGGAATCGGGTAAGCATCAGGCTTGGTGACAGAGTTCAACTTCCTGTAGTCGATACAGAGTCGAAGAGAGCCATCCTTCTTTGGCACCAATACTATGGATGATGCCCACGGACTTATTGATTCTTGTATTATGCCTTACTTCAACAGCGTATTCAGTAGATCTTGCAGAGCAATCCGGCGGTGATATGGAATCCGCCTGGTAGGTTGTCTTATAGGGTTATTTTGTCTAGTGTTAATTTTATGAGGGAATATGTCACAGTAGCCATAGTCATCATCATGCAAGATAAATAAATTGTGGTTATCATGAAGTAGTTCAGTGAGCGTGCAAGACTGTTCTGTTGAGAGATGATTTTGTGCGTTGATATATTCATCGATGACTTTCTTGCGTTGCTCAGTTAGCGGGATCGTGCTGGGTGAAACTGAGGAAACCATAGCTTCAGTGTTGTCAATATGTTCACAGTGTGTAGGAATTTGATGAAGTTTGGCAACATTGGTATTTTTATGAATGAGTATAGGAGGATTTGCATGATTTTCAACAGCCACAACCACACGTATTTGGTTAGGGCCAACAGTTACAAGACTAGGAGTCACTGCCACATCTGGATGCTTCGCCATAAAGTACTCCAATGGATCAGGCCACGCAATCCATCGCAACCGTGCACACATCAACAGCTGCACAAGGCACCAAGACAACATGTCCTGCAGGTACCGACAACTCCATCTCAAATACCACACGAGATGAGTATACCACAGTGTCGGCCACACTTTCGGGCGCACACGCCGGGACAACGCCAGGTTGAGCCATGGGTTCAACAACCCGTGCAGACAATGAATCGTCAGACAGATCAGATGCGGATGATGCATGTAGATTTATATGATGAATATTTTGAGGATGATTGGATTTTGAATGATTGTTTTCAGGATTTTTATGGTCCGGCTCAGTGTCGCTGGTGTCGGACAATGGCTTGCTAGCACACAGTGTCTGTGAGGGAACATGTCTTGGGCCACTAATGCACACAGACACAGACTCCTCGCCAAACGTCAACATTCATTGGGCAACATCCAGCATGCAGCCATGCTCAAAGAGGAAATCTGATCCAAGAATGACATCTTTGTGGATGGCATCAGACAACACAAAGAAGTGCACAAATGAGCAGTTGCCTAGGCAGAATGCTAGCTCTACAGACCCCAACACAGGCAACTGTTCTCCGTTCACCGAACATAAACGCGGAGCAGACTCGAGTGTTTGCTCAGAGTCAAACAACAAAGTGACCAAAAATAGCGTGCAACAACGATACACTTGAGCCCGAGTCGACTAATCCAGACACCGTTGCAGTCCGGAAACATACATCTACATGCAAGACAATTGACGAAATAGCATGCACACAGACATCATGCAAATGGAGGGGCTCGTTCTCCTCAACTGGCTGCTGCCCCGCGTCACCAGTCATTTGTAGTTTTTTCGGTTCATATGAGGACAATAAGCGAGTAAGTGGCCAACTCCTCCGCAGCCATAGCAGCATTCCAAACCCCCGAGGAAGGATCTCCTTCAAACATTTGAGGAGATCAACGCGCAGGAGCAGATTTTGAGGCTGAAGACTCTTCAGGTGCAAGGCAAGTGGTTGGAGTGGACATCAGTGATGTGGCAGGACCGCTCGTGGAAATCCCTTTTGTACGGTGGTACTGGCAAGGATTTATAATTTCTTCTTGCATCAACCCTCGACGTGCTACCTTCTCCGACGAACCTACGTCGTTGAGGAAACACCGTAGTGGATCCGTACTGTAGTTTGTGCCGTGCCTGGGCCTGTACTACGCGCCACGTGCTTGGCGCTTGTCGCGTAGCGCTGGACCAGGGACGTTACACCTTGAGGCAGGACAATGTACTCGGGGTCATCGTCAGGAACATGCGTGAGGAGATTCGATTCCGCGCTGCGGCAAACACCGTACAAACCGAAAATTCAAATAAGCTTGACTTCATCTCGTTTTGCAAGGCGGGACAGAAGCCAGTTCGCGTTCAGCCCAGACAATAGTGGGTTACGCCTGATCTCCTGTCAGCGGCCTCAGACTGGAAACATCTTTTAACCCACATGCATGCACGCATACACACAATAAAACTTAAAACAACCAAAACATCAATATGCACATTTATCCAGACACGCTCTCACATACACACGCACGCATGTGCGTGCCAAACGTACAAAACGTGGACACATGTACACCAAGCAGATAGAATACAAGGAAGTGGGGTTTGCCATAGTTTTTTTTCTTTCAATTTTGTCTGATAAATATTTACGAGACTTTGCATCGAGCGACACCGTGGATAACATTGAGCCAAGAATTATGCAATAAACCAGAAGAGATATCTCTTCACAAGTAGGCAAATAAATGCGTAGGTGCCCGGCAACAGCAATCGGGCGAGTCACAGCAATGTACGTATTGCAACTTCAATGATACACATACACGGTTGACCACCCATGCCTCCATTTTCGGTGGGTCAACCACATGGTGGCCCAGCAACTTCAAACGGGAACACACCGATACAACATACACAGTTGACCACCCATGCCTCCATTTTCGGCGGGTCAACCACATGGTGGCCCGGCAACTTCAAACGGGAACACACCGATACAATAGACACAGTTGACCACCCATGCCTCCATTTTCGGCGGGTCAACCACATGGTGGCCGGGCAACTTCAAACGGGAACACACCGATACAATAGACACAGTTGACCACCCATGCCTCCATTTTCGGCGCGTCAACCACATGGTGGCCCGGCAACTTCAAACGGGAACACACCGATACAACATACACAGTTGACCACCCATGCCTCAAACCGGCGGGTCAACCACACAACAACATACAGGTGTCACAACACTGAGACAGTACAGCACAACACTGAGAGGCAAATGCATTTGACCCTCCTTGGGGCCTCGTCATGTGGCACAAGATACCGACGTGTCATGTCTAAAGGGAGGGAGGGAGGGGAGAAAACACAACCTTGAGTCACTTTGGCTAACTGGATGACAGAAATTGTTGACAAGGAAGTTGCTTTGCTGACACGAGGCAGGGCAAAGCGGCCACGCAAGATTTATTTTTTCATCCACCATTTTCGGAAAAAATATTTTTTATTCATGTGCCGCGTGACGAACCGTGACAAAACACGTGCATGCGTGGGCTAACTTGGCTTTGCTGCTCAAAGCCGTCATTTAACCCACATGCATGCACGCATACACACAATAAAACTTAAAACAACCAAAACATCAATATGCACATTTATCCAGACACGCTCTCACATACACACGCACGCATGTGCGTGCCAAACGTACAAAACGTGGACACATGTACACCAAGCAGATAGAATACAAGGAAGTGGGGTTTGCCATAGTTTTTTTTCTTTCAATTTTGTCTGATAAATATTTACGAGACTTTGCATCGAGCGACACCGTGGATAACATTGAGCCAAGAATTATGCAATAAACCAGAAGAGATATCTCTTCACAAGTAGGCAAATAAATGCGTAGGTGCCCGGCAACAGCAATCGGGCGAGTCACAGCAATGTACGTATTGCAACCTCAATGATACACATACACGGTTGACCACCCATGCCTCCATTTTCGGCGGGTCAACCACATGGTGGCCCGGCAACTTCAAACGGGAACACACCGATACAACATACACAGTTGACCACCCATGCCTCCATTTTCGGCGGGTCAACCACATGGTGGCCCGGCAACTTCAAACGGGAACACACCGATACAATAGACACAGTTGACCACCCATGCCTCCATTTTCGGCGGGTCAACCACATGGTGGCCCGGCAACTTCAAACGGGAACACACCGATACAACATACACAGTTGACCACCCATGCCTCAACCCGGCGGGTCAACCACACAACAACATACAGGTGTCACAACACTGAGACAGTACAGCACAACACTGAGAGGCAAATGCATTTGACCCTCCCAAAAACCAGTGTTTACGACCAAGCATTTCTCACGGCATCGCTTATTAGCATAACTTCCTGCAAGCAACCATGGCAAACCCCTAAGTGATACCCACAGAGCCACACCGGCACAAGGACTGCACAACAAGCGGAAGGCACAACACTGTACAACACTACAAATGTACCTCACTTCTGTTCTCAACACCACATGGGCGTGGGCTGTTCCAGTCTTTGCTGCTAGCCATTGCACAGAGGGTATACCGGCTGCACGCCTGACATAGTGATCGGATGCTGCACTTCGCCAGCAGCCTGCACGGCATATGGCTGCTTCACAGACACTTGTACTCCGGTGAGCCATGAGTGTGGCCCCGCCAATG